TCTTTGAATTTCTGTTACAAATTTGATTGTCTGTCATTAAACATTTAGTATTAAATACACTTTTTTCCTAATAAATCTATTCATGTCTTCAAGCTTAGTCCATTAATTTGGCTTTTATGGATTTTGTTTAGTTTATTCAGTTGGTGTTTGCTTTTGATTCCTCCAATTAGTCTCATGTTTTAAAACTGAGCTGATCACCTTCATCAAACTCCTGGTCCTTTATTGAACAAATGCACGTTATCATCACAAGTGGCGTGATTTTTGCTGCAGTGTATTTTTCTTAGCAGTCAAACACAGAATCACAGAACAAAGATACTGCTGCAATTCTCCCTCTAATAAGGTTCATATCCAATATTTTTGGAAAGTCTTTGAATTTTCCTCTTAATGCACCAAGTCTTAATGCCAGCCCTTCATAATAAAAAAAAAAATGGAGATTAGAACACAAATCTAGGTTTTATTTTACCAAAACTGGGTGATAGGGAATAGGATCAATGAGGAACTCAGGCTGGGACCTGTCTTTCTCTCATCCTGTTTTGGTCAAGTTAAATCCTAGAATTTCTTTAAATTTTTAGAGCAGTGTCAAATAGAGATGTTGGTGCAGATGTTTGTTCTAGTATAAGGCACCACACTGACTTCAGACTTGCATCCTACTAGCAGTTAAAAATACGTCATTAGAGAGTGGTTATAATTAGCAAGTGCATGTAATTTGTATAATAAAGCAATTGTAAACGTGTTCATTTCATTCCCCTCGTCCTCAGCTTTTTTGTGATACTTTTATTGTATTAAAGGGTAGCTTAACGGATTAAATAATGAGGGTGCTTTTTGAAAGAAATGTGTTTAAAGGAAACATTTTGCTGCATTACACTCTTCAAAATGAAGTGACAAGAAGGTAATATGGTGGCTGTGGCCATATCAGACTTTTCCTTCATGTTGGTTGTATGTATCCTGGACTTGAACACCGATTTATGAAGGAATGATAAATGTTTTTATTAAAACCTGTGGCTTGAGAGAAGTTAATACGGTGCCTTTTCCTTTCAGCAGTTTCAGCTGGCTTCATACCTTTTAAAGCATGTTCCATCTCATCTTGAAAATGGAGAAGTCACAAAAATGATTTTTTTTTTTTTTTTTTTTAAGGTAAAAAATGGAATTCTTTTTTCATTTTTTTTTTTTATTGCATTTTTATTTTGTTGCTTTTTTTTTGTTCATTTTTTTTTTCCTTTTTTCCTTTTAAAGATTTTTTCTTTTTTTTTTGAAAATGGAGAAGTCACAAAAATGATTTTTTTTTTTTTTTTTTGGTGAAATGGTAAAAAATGGAATTCTGATTGCATGTGATGTGTACACTGCATTTTGATTCTGTGGCTCAAATCTTACTAAAGCAGTGTCTCTTCATATTGATATTTGCCCTTGTGCATACAGATAAGAGTCTTCTATAGTAAACATTGTTTCAAAAGGCAGGAAAGAATCTCACACATTTTAGTGCTATATGCAGTTGCACACACAAAGTGATAATTAGAGACATTTAAACTTTAATTATCTATCTTAGCATTAATGTCAAAGGGACTTTCTCTGTCCTTAGAAATTGGAGATCTTGTTCAAGTTGAAAATGTCATTGATATGTGATCTGTAGGTATTGGTCACTGTAGTTGAAACTGTAGAAATTATGCTCCAATCTGTAAAGTTGGCCACCCCAATCTAATATCTTCTAAAACACTAGTCAAGAAAAGGCAGGTTAACCAGCTTAACGTGCTAAAGTACAAGTTAAAACACATCAGTTAGGCCATTATTCTGAGTAGAACAAGAAACTTATTGAGAACTATTTTCTTATAAAAGGTAAATTCTGTTGCACTACGCAAACTGTTCTGGAGGATGTAAAGTTTGCTGAATGCCTGATTTCTAAGTTTCAGAGGTCGCCATTAAAGGGGATGTAGCTTTTCTAAGTCATGATCTATACTAAGGAAAAATTGATAAGAAAAATGCACAATAAAAACATGCTTTTTCAGTAACATCTTTCAGATTCTGATAAACTTCCAAACAGGCAGTCCAACTGCTACAGGTCCAGTTCTCCAAAGAACAAGGCAGAAGCTGGGCATTTTTTCAGTTCAATTGTAGGAATTGTATAAACCTTAACTTAAAAGCTCTTAAGGGTTGCTGTGAGGAAGTGGCCTTTAACCTCTGCAGAGGTCTATTTGCCTGGTACTGAAATTTTCAGACACATAGATGAACATGATTTGTTGGCACAAGTCGTGATGTTTGTAAAGGGAAATCATGACTCAGCAATCTGTTAATCACCTCAAAGAATGTAATAAACATGGATGTGGGTGATCTAGCACCGTGGTTCTCAACCTTCACAGACTACTGTACCCCTTTCAGGAGTCAGATTGTCTTGTGTACTCCCAAGTTTCACCTCATTTAAAAACTACTTGCTTACAGAATCAGACATAAAAATACTTGTCACAGCACACTATTACTGAAAAATGGTTGACTTTCTCATTTTGTCTATATGAAATTTTAGTTTGTACTGACTTGGCTAGTGCTTTTATGTAGCCTGTTGTAAAACTAGGCAAGTATCTAGATGAGTTGATATACCCCCTGGAAAACCTCTGTGTACCTCTGGGGTACACAGACCCCTGGTTGAGAACCACTGATCTAGTGGATGCAGTGTAGTTGGACATTCAGAAAGCCTGGGGGAAGGTCTCTCACCAAAAGCTCTTAAGCCAAGTAAGCAATCATGGGATAAGAGGGGTGTGCTCATGGCTCAGTAAAAGACAGCAGACAAACTTAGGAATAAATGGTCAGTTTTCATAATGGAGAGTAGTGACACACCCACCCCTGACTACTGGGATCTGTGGTATTCAACATACTCAAATGAGCTGGAAAACAGTGAGGTGACAGAATTTGTAGATACAAAATTACTCAAGATCAAAGCAGCCTGAAAAATTACAAAGAGCTCTCACAAAACTCTGATTCTGCAACAACATGGCTGGTGAAATTCCATGTTAAGTAATGTACATTGGAAAACAGATCCCATCATTTTGTATGTATAGGTGGGAATATAATTTAGCTCTTACCACTTAAAAAGATTGTGGTGTCATTGTGGCTAGTTCTCTGAAAACATCTGCTCAATGTGCAGCAGCAGTCAAAAAAGCTAAACCTTAGGAACCATTAGGAAAAGAATAAATAAGACAATAACATAATGCCACTGTAGAAGTCAATGGTATGTCCACACCCTGCATACTGCATGCAGTTTTGGTTGCTCCAGCTCAAAAAAGATATGTGGAATTTAGAAAAGAGAGAGGCTGGAACCAAAAATGATTAAGGTATGGAACAGCTTCCATATGAGGAGAGATTAAAAAGACTTGAACAAAGGTCTCTACAGTCATGACCAGTGTGGAGAAAGTGTTATTTACCCCTTCACTTAACACAAGACCCAGGATGGGGGAATGTGTCACCAAATGAAATTAATAGCAGGTTTAAAAGGAAGTACATCTTTGCACAGCAGAACATGCTGTGAAGGCCAAAAAGAACTAGATAAGTTCATGGCAGATAGGTCCATCAATGGCTATGAATTAAGATGGTCAAGGATGCAACACCCATGCTCTCGCTGTTCTTAGCCTCTGATTGCCAGAAGCTAGATCACACAATGAGTGCCTGTTCTGGTCAGTCTCTTTGATGCATCTGGCATTGGCCACTAGACTACTGGGCCCATTGGTCTGACCCAGCATGGCTATTCTTAGGGCCTGGAGGCTGAGTTGAGCTACTTAAAGCCTTTTTAATCCTATTTTTGAAGACTTAGCTGGCAATTCTTTTTGCAACTTATTTACCATTCCTGACCCTCTTTCTACATTAGCGTTGTGTTCTTTTACAAAGGCAAATGTCACTTGTTTAGCAATCTGCATTTTTACACCCCCTTTGCCGAATTGGGCACAAATCCGCCCTGATAGAAAGCAAGAAAGCTCTGCCAGTGTAAAGCTCAGCTGCTGGCTGTTTGACTAGCTGATTCAGTATACTAAAGACAAGCTGCATAGATTTGGAAACAGCCACAAGCCTCTTTCCTCAGCTGCTCTCACACCTGACCTTACATGCTTGATGTTAAATACTCATTAATTGACTTTTGAGGTGCTGCCTTTAGGAACTGAAGCTTAGGACTAAAAACAAATTTAAAAGAAATATGCAAGCTTTAAAAGTAGCCCTGTCATTTCAATACAAGTTGGTAATGCCAAAAAAAAGTCCCTGGAAGAAGTTTAAACTCTTTTCCCACTGACATCTTTATTATTATATGACCACAAATAAATTCACCATTAACATAGTTAGTGTGCTTTAAATTTTATCAAACTTCATAAAACATACAAAAATATTTCTCTGAATGCATAGATTTGCTCAGTTACCAGCACTATATTTTTAGTCATTAGTTCTTTAGCAAAAGTTGTGTTGCATATTAAGTTAACAGTTAGTTGTTGTGAATTAGAGGAAATAAAGCTAATTAATAGAATCGCTTCCATTAGTTACTGGACAATTGTTACATTGTTTATGTAAAAGTGACAATGTCCTACATGCATTAAACCATAGGATCTGCAAAACTAACTGCGAATACTCTTAATTTTGAGCTACATAGCTACTGTTTTTTTTCCAAACAGTTTAGCATTCACTTTGAAATAACCCCTGCACTACAGTGGCAAGTATGTAGATCAAATCCCCACCACAGGGAGAATCAGGTTTGACTAAGTACTGATGTCAGTAGGGGCCTTCAGTTGAGTAGACGTTGAATCAGGCCTTATGCGCTTGTCCAGCCACTGTATGGACAGAACAGGGGAGAGTACTGGCTGAGTGGATTAGATGGCAGAAGGATTAGACCACAGATGCATATCGCTGGAGGCTTTCATTGGTGGAGTGTTAGTTGGAATAGGGAAAGGACCGAGAATACAGTAATCAATTTTGAACCAATTAAACATCTCTGTGATCAAAAGGAAAGTGCTAGTAACTTTCTCATCTTTATATTTTGGATTTTATCTGTCATGTTGCAAAACAATTTGCCACATTCTATTATTGTCTAGTCAAATTCAGAAATGTCTACTTAATATAAACCAATATGTGCCATCAGTTGTACAGCATGTGAAAACATGTTGGTCAAACAGAGAAGCAGCTACTGCAAGGGGAAGCTATCCCCTATGCAATGTATTACACTAAATCATTTCCAATATTATACACTGCAATCCGCATTAAAAAAAATCCCTACTGTTGTATCAAGTTCTTGGGGTAGTAGTGCAGGAAGAAGCTATTTGAAGGCAGCTGCTCTAGTATAGCTTAATAAAGAAATAGAGTTGGAGATAGACTCAATATTAGATCTCTTATAAATTAGGTTACGTTTTTAATTGAAAGACACTGGTAGGAAGTGTTTGTTTAAGTCATAAGAAAGGCCAGATTTTCTACTCAATCTGGAATTGCCATTTCTAGTTTTTCTGCATATCAGCCTAGCCTTCATCAGTCTCAAGGTAGCCAAGTGTTTTGAGAACTGCTGGAGATTAGTACTTCCAGCAACAAAAGTGCTCCTTGGGAGAAAAAACAACTTGAAAATATGGTATTTGATAGCAAATGTGATACATGTTTTAAATTAACACTGCCCAGGATAAGCTCTGAAAAATTAAGAGCTCAAGTAGGCTTAGATTCAAGTTTTTAACATAGTGCTATAAAGTATCCAGCAACATTAATCTATTTGGATTATTCAATTGGCTGAAGCTTTTGACACACTTTAAGTGACACCAGCTCGTGCAACGTAATGCAACAGTTGTGGGAAGAATGTGTCATACAGAATCAATTTAAAAACAGCTCCAAGTGCGTCTGTTAATTGCTTCTGATGATGCCTCTATTTCCATTCCCATGTTCCCTTAATTGGGTTTGGCTAAGCAAGAGCAGACTGTCTCCTCTGGAGTTGATACTGCCACGTCTCAACAACAAATATTTTCTAGTATTGTGCTCCTAGTGCATAGGATGCTGAATTTAACCCAGATTCCCTGAACTATTAGCATCAATGAGGCTAGTTCCTAGAAGAGATTTTAAAAAAATCATTAAAGCACTACTAGAATCATAGGGCGTAATTAATGCTTGCCAAGTGGACAAGTGTTAGGGAATGAATTCTTTTAGAAGTATATAGGTTTTTAAAAGCAATTGACACCCACAAAAATAATGTAAATATACAGTCAAACATGGCCGTTTCCTTTTAAGCACAACCATATATGTAACTTTCATTTGCTTTGATGATCTAATACACTTGTTCAACAGTGTGGCTAAGATTTACTTTTAAAAAAATCAATATTTTAAGAACAAAATATTAAGTTATCCCATTTTGTTCAGTTGGGTCATCTATTAGTTTGGGGAAGAAAAATGAAGGTGGTTACTAAACATCAATGGCAGTTTGACATCTGGGAACCTGATTTTAGCAAGCTGTCCCTGTGTGGTTGTTACAATGGGTGTTCTATGGACTGTTTGGAGCAGTAAATACCATTGCTCTAGAAGACAGCATGGCATGCTACTTCATACTTAGGGCAGTTGTAAGAGACTCAGTGAGCCAGGTACTGGTGACAGCAGAGAGAGACTGCACCTTGAGGAGTCTGAGAAATAAGGGCAGTATTTACATTTTCAGGGGGCCACAAGCCATAGAAGCCTAAATTTATAATTTATGCAAAAAATATATAGATATCTAAATGTGCCTGATTTTTCTAGAAGTCTTTACTTTTCATGCGAACAGTTGACCAGCTGTCTTCTTATGCCAAATACAACCAATAAACTTCATTAACTTGTATCTGAAGCATGTCGGCTTAATAGACAAATGAGGTACCCTTTATCTGAATACAATATTAAGTTAAAAAAAAGCAAAGGGGATAGTAAATATCAAAGATATACTATTATTAGTTAAAATATTAACCCTAACAATAACTTAAGGTTTCACACACAATTAATCCACTGCTTCAGAAGACAGCAGCATATAATTCTCACATTCTAGAAAGTTCAGTAAGTCAGCTTTGATGCTTTACTATTGTAGCAAGACCTCTCCGTCAGTGTTGATGCAGCATTTCTAAAAGGAGAGTTGTCACTTTTCATTAGAACCAGCTCCAGTTCTTGAAAATCCTGAAGTCTTGCAACATCTTTGTCCTTAAAAGGATGAAAACAAAAAAAGCAAATGTCTATAAATGTATTTACCATTAATGCGGATAAACAAGGTCAGGCCTATGAAAGCAAGCATTAACCAACCGCCAAGTACAATTCTACCCAACAAGGTACATAAGTACTATTTTTTTCTAGTTAACAGATGTGTCACTATTTGTTTTGCTCTATGATGGAATCTCTCAATATCGTTAAGATGACTTTTCCATTCTTCAAGTACCCACTATTTGTACGTGAATTAAGCAGTGAAAGGATCTGACCAGAACATTACTAAGAAAGTAATGTGCATGTGTCAGATTAACTGAAAGTCATGCAGACAAGGCCAGTTGATTTCAGACACAGAACCATGAGAGCTGTGTTGTCTGAACACAAAGGAATGTTTACATTGCTGATGGGATACCCTTATACATTATTTGCAACAAAAGCTGAGGTAGGGTATTTCCACACACACACACACAAAGATACTTCCATTTCCACATACTAATGACATGCTCAAGAGATAAACATGCACATTGTGCATTCAGTCTTATGTTTCAAATACCTGACAACTGTAGGTGCCTGTGATTTCACATGCTTTGGGAGTTTAAAAACATATCCACTTTGATAAAAAGAAATACTTTTTTATTAGATCATGATGAAACTGCATTATTTCCCTCCTATGAAATCTTTCTTTGGGCCTGAATACTTAACAAAAAATTATGTGGCAGTCAGTTCGTGAACACAGTGCAATTCTTTGGAGCCTAAAGACAGTAGCTGATCTTTGTACTCCAGAATCCAAGATAACAGAGAAATAAAATGAATAATATCCGATTAGCAATTAAATATGGAAGTTCCTCTTACCTTTCTGACCAACGTATTCGGTAACTTTCTAATCTTCTCCACTTGTTCTTGATTAACACCCAATTCACAGCAACTGACTCTGAGTAGATCCTGATAGGTCAGTTCTTGTCTGTCTAATTCAATCTCAATGAAGTCATTTTCCCTAAGGCTCTGAATTCTTACCTTAAGCACCAATTCTAGTAAAAAAATAATAATAATTATAATAATGTTGTGGGAGGAGGTCTGATATAATCTTACAAAGAAAAATAACCAGTATAATAGATTGAAACCGAAGGAGAATTTACATTTTATTATTTAAACTCAGAATTTTTTAGCGTAACACCAGAATCATTCTTACAAGGATTTAAACCTGAGATACCCATAGAAAGTCCAGTAACACACATCCACAATGAAGGAAACAACCCAAAACTAGAGAGGAAACCTTAAAATGATATGGGCATATTTAAAAAAAAATGCAATATTCTAAAGCCTCTATCAGAATGAATTCCTCTTTCTTCCCCGTGAATTTAGTGCTCGTGATCGCACAGATACTACTGTATACTCCTGGGGGAATTCTATGCCACTGCGCGTGCACAGAATTCATGTCCCCCACAGATTTCTTTGCTTTCCAGCAGAAAAATGACTTTCTGACAGGGAAGCTGCAAGAGCAGTCACACACCCACTCCCTAGCAGAGAAGATACATTGTTTCAGGCAAACCAGAGCAGCCGGCAGAGAGGTAAATCACCCTGGGGCTGGGGACACCCCAGCCAGTGGCTCCTACCATGACCCGGGATCAGCTGCTAGTCCTGACTGAGCTGGAGGGAGGAGAGGACAGGACTTCCAGTTCCCCTGCAAGAAGTGTCTGGGGCTGTGTCAGACCCACCCCCAGAAATCCCCCAGCTGCAGGAAGCTCAGCATCCTCCTGCCCCCATCGCTCCTCAACTGTGAGGGAAGGGGGGTCACTGTATGGGGGAGCTGCTCCCCCATCCACCCAACCCCTATGCATCTGGACCTCCCATACCCAGACCCCCTGCCAAGCCTCACCGGTACATCCAGACAGGACAAGATGACTGGTTTGGAATACAATTTCTATTTTGGGGGTTCTAACCATTCAGTTTATGGCTGAAATGGGAATTAAAACAGATTTTTCTTATTAAACACAAACAGCAGCACAGCTTCATAATAATGTTATAATGACATATCAAATCTGTTCCACTTGTGAGAGCAAACAGAATGCATGTAATTATCCACATTCTGGTCAGTTACACTAGAGTAAATTGCGAATAACTCCACTGACTTTAAGAAAGGTTTTCTGGGTTCACATCAGTGTAACAGAGGAGACCCAGTATGACTAATGAAGGGTTTCGTTTCAACAGCAATGAAATTCATTTGATTTTCAAAGGGAGTTAGGTACCTAAATACCTATAAAAGCTGGGCCTCACTAAAAAGTATTAGGCGATGTACAGGAACCTCAGAAAAAGAAGCTACGTTTTGTTACTAAGGGCTTGTCTACACACAGAATAATCCAGAATAAAGCAGGGTGTGAATTTGAAGTGGATTAACTCTTATTCCAGAATAACTCCCTCTATACACAAGCCCTAAATTACAAGTTGTATTGGTTTACAAGAGAGTTATTACACCTTGTATCATATTTGGCAGAGTTTATGATTTTTATATTGTTTGGGTTTTAGACTGGAATCTCTCCAGCAGAAGAAAAGTAGCTGTAATTGTCTGTAACACATTTATAGTACTGTATAAATAATACCACAATTATTCTAGTTAGCACGGTGGGGAGAGCATTTGAAATAAGAGAGGGAATGGATCGCTCTCTCTGCCACCATACTGTCCCTTTGACATTTCCACCTCTCCTCCAAGAGGGTGGAAAGAGACAGATTGAGATCAGCATGAAATACACCCTTCACTTCAGTTCCCAACTAGTGATGCAAACATGGATCAGCAGTGTGGTAGCAAGATGCATGATCTTGGAAAATTACACTTTGTTACCTTGCATATTATATGGAAAAGTTCCGGTGAAGAAAAGTGGCTGAAATGTCGGTGCAGCCCCAGTATGAGAGCCATTCTGTTGCTGAGGTACAGGCTGTTTAGATGCTACTGGAGAAAAGAGGCCTCTATTATGAGACATGGATGGCTGACAAATGGAGCCATTCTGGACTCTAGGTTTTGGATATTCTGGCACCATGATGGCTGCTGATGGGGTGGGCTGGCCTTCCTTAGAGTGTACCACAGGAAAATCATCTTCGCTGTGTGATGACGTGGGTGTGCATATGCTTTCGACCTGAGTTGCTGATGAACAAGAACTAGTTTCACACAGAGAAACAAAAGAGACGGAAGTGCTTTCATTCTGGAATGCTGTTGAGATGGATGGAATGCTGTTGCTTTCTTTAGTGTAAACATAAGGGAAGGGTGGATTGGCCAAATAGTTTGCAACAATTGGCATATTTAAGTCTTCCACTTCTTTAAATTCATTTTCCTCCACTTCAGGGGGGGGAGAGAAAGAGAGAGAGAAAAACAACTTGTTACTTAAATATTATCATCTTCCCCAATTCAAATATAAAAGAGTTTTCCTACTGTGTCTCACAAAATTACATCATCTTGAAAAAAATCACAAGAATTGCACCAATGTAGCTTGAGCCTATGGGCACTTGGAAGCATGGCAAAATGCAGGGAGTGTGAAATGAAAGGAAAGAATAAAGATCAAGAGGGAAAGAAATTATTGTACAAACTGAGCTGGAAGCCAAAAAACAAAGCCAAAGAAAAATAATTAAACCATCAAAAGCAGATACAAGTGATGCCTTTAAATACAGCAATGCCAGTTCACCATCTCTGAAAGGATCAGATTGAGAAGTAGTTTTGATATGTTTTTTTTTAAAAGACATTATTTAAAATAATTGCTTTTCATAGATGCCAGCAAAGGAAGTGGAACGTTTTTCTCACTTAGCTGGTGTTCAGCATAGGGTCCAATCTCGCAGTCCTCACGTTCGCCAAACTACTGCAACAAATTTGGCTTGAATAAGAATGGCAGGAGTAGGCCCATTAACAGTAACAATGCCAAGGAAGCCCAAACAAGATGTTCTCAGTTTTCCTGGGGATGCACAACTAAATTCGTTTAGGAGGTGAAAGTGACACATATTCCATACCTGGTAAGTGAGGCCCAGCTTTTATAGGTATTTAGGTACCTAACTCCCTTTGAAATCAATGGGAGCTAGACACCTAAATGCCTTTAAAAATCTGGGCATGAATGATTAGTGACCAGACAAACATATCAGGCAGGAATTATGTGGGAGTTCATTTCACTTGGACATGTCAGCCTAAACTTTCAAAAGTCAAAACCCAAGTCATGTTGTCCTACTGTATAGCTGCAGATTTTTGCCCAGAAGAAGGAAAAAACAGTTTTCAAAGATTATACCAATCACACAAATGACTGTGAAAATAGTAATGGCAGCCTGTACTTAGCTACACATGCATTTACACAGCAGTCATGCAGCTATTACACACTCTTCATGGATTGTCAAAGTTATCAGCCTGAATTTAAGAGGCCCACTCCCCAAACAAATATCATTAACATATACAAGCATGCCCATTGAAAGTTACAAAAGGTGAAATTTCTATGGTACGGAAACACTGGACTCAATCAGACATATCTGCGCCATTTCTAAGAGTGTCACGTATCTAATTTTGGGCTTGCTTCTTGGCATGTGTGTGGCATAAGCTTTTTAAATATACCAACGTGTTTTGTCATGTGTATGGAGAAGGTTACGTTTTACTGCCAGGAAGTCATAACTCACCTATGAAATTCTCAGAAGCCATCACTCCTAAAATGTAGCAATTGCTTCTGTATACAATGGCCTTGTAAGACTTTTGATTAAGCTTGACCAGATCTATTTGTGCTTATAAATAAAAGCCTTTGGCTTGAGGCTTGATTCAACTCCATTTAAACACTCAATGAGAGTTGGAGAAGCAATTTCATTCTGAGTTCTGTAGCTAAAAGAGGACTCAAAGGGCTTATCTACACAGGGAAATTTACTGATACAGTTATACCGGTATAATTATATTGCAATAATTATACCAGTATAACTCCATACGTGCACACACTTTATTCCAGAATAGGAGTACCTTTTTCCAGTTTAGTTTATGTCACTTTCACTACATTGGTATAATTATTGCAGTAAATTTCCCCATGTAGACAAGCCTTAAGAAAGCACTTTCCTAGCAAGAATGGAGCTTTTGAACTGCAGTTGGCAACCATCAGTTTATAGTATCATATTAAAAAAGTAAAACAGGTTTACTAGTGAAATAATAACCACACTAAACAAATTCGAAGATCATATGAGGAAATACATCTGCAATCACCTTTAAACCTGAATGTGTCATGCAAATCAAATGGTATACACCCTCTTATTCTCTGTCTCCTCTCCATAGCAAAGTTCATATCGACCTGCTGTGTCTCAGTCAGGCTTTGCTTGACATAAAATATTCTTGCACATAGGTTTATACTGATTTCCACAGGAGCATGACTGAGGCCAAAGTAACTTGCCCAGAGTAAGTCAGTATCAGAACCAGGAGTAAAATTCAGGAGTCCTGATTCCAACAATTTCTTACAACTTATTAGAATACATTTACAAATATTTACAAGGCACTAGGTACACATGGAAGATCAAAGACGTTAACATATTTACCTACATGGGGTATAATCTTTTAAACTCATATAGATAGATAAGGGATTGCCAGTTATAGAAAGTATCAGAGGGGTAGCCGTGTTAGTCTGAATCTGTAAAAAGCAACAGAGGGTCCTGTGGCACCTTTAAGACTAACAGAAGTATTGGGAGCATAAGCTTTTGTGGGTAAGAACCTTCTACTTCTGTTAGTCTTAAAGGTGCCACAGGACCCTCTGTTGCTTTTTACAGTTATAGAAAGGCACACTCTATCTAAAAAAATTTAAAAACATGTACCTGAATTGGAAGAGCAAAACTTTTTTGAAAGTGAATAAAAAAGTAAACTCATAAAATTCACTGCCACAAAATTCATCTAACACAAGTTTCATCTTGGTGCAAAACATGTTCACAGCAAAGATATAAACCCTAGAAAAACCTGCAACCCTTCCTTGCATGAATTGTGCCACTGAAGTCAATGGAACTACTTGTATGAGTAAGCATTACTGGTGTAACTTCAGGACAGGACTGGACCCTGTCTTTATAATAGAAATGCTGTCAGTCTGGAACTAGGGAAAATCACTAAATACTACGACCAACTATTTTAGAATAAATGTCAAAACATGTAAGTTGTACCTCCCATAATCTTCCTGATATCTTTCTTTGACGTTAACTGGGCTGCCAGTTCTCCTTTAGCTGTGAGAATCTCCTTATCAGCACCAGCATCAATCAGGCAAGAGACCACTTCAGCATGATTCCGTTTGCATGCCCAGTGCAAACAAGTCCTGTGTGTAAAGAAAATATACTGGTGACTTTGTAGTTCCAATGAACTATACCCCGACCACAAAACCATTATGTGCCAACAATAATAATCCATTTGCCTGAGGTTGCACGTAGAATAAGAGTGACTTGGGAGACACTGGAGTTGCTTCCACATTTAAACTGAACATGATACAGTTGTAAATTCCTTGGGGGAGGGACTTCCTTTACCTTGATCAGTTGGTGTACACTGACCGTGCTAAACAAACAAAAACAACAACACTGCTTCATGCTATTAATAAAATATAGTGTTGGTGGTCCTTGTACTTGAGCAATGTTAACTGTTAACACAATATATAGTGTAACAGAAATTAAAGAGGACAATAGACTTAGTAGACCCCTGTAAAGACTTGGACTAAAATCTTCAAAAACAAGGGCCTAAAGGAAGTCCATATTTAGGCATATAAAATTATATATTAATAGATTTTTAAGGCCAGAAGGGACTATAGATTACCAAGTCTGACCTTCTGTGTATCACAGGCCATTCAATTTCAGCCAGGTACTGAGTCCAAAATGTGTTTGAGTAAAGCAAATCTTCCAGAAAGGCATCCAGAGTTGAAGACATCAAGAGATGGAGAATCTACCACTGCCCTTGGTAGTTTGTTTCAGTGGTAAAGCACCTGCACTGTTAAAATTTTTTACTTCAGCTCCCAGCTATTGAGTCTTCTTATGCCCTTCTCCACTAAAAACTTTCCGTTTTTTTTCAATACTAGGGTGCATCAAGCAGCTCTCAACAAAGTCAATGGGAGAGGCAGGGTACTCAGCACTTTTGAAAAATCCAGCTACTGACTTGGACACCTAAATAAGAACTCTGGGACCCCATTTTATGGTTAAACTTCTGAAAATGTTGGCCAAGGGCTTTATCATGGTTCAGTAACATGCTATAAGTCACTCTGGTCCCATCTACACAGATAAATCCAAGCCCTGGTACTACAAATCAGGGTACTACCACGTTAACACAATCACAGTGAATAAAGCATGGTGCCAAGCTTACAGGCTACATCCATTCACATTTTTGTTAATAATAATGCTTAGCTCTTATATAGCATTTTTCATGGCTAGGTCTCAAAGCACTTTACAAAAGAGATCAATATAAATATCCCATTTTACAGACCGGGAAACCGAGGCACAGAGCACTGACGTGAGGTTCCCAGGATCACCCAGCAGGCCATTGGCAGAGCTAGGTACAGAATCCAAGTCTCCTAA